TTAGAATGCGGTAAGTTGAAGAGAAAATGGGGAGGGTTTAAACTTAGAATGTTAATTTTTATACAAATATTATAAATACTGTAAAAATACATGAGCTGGCTGATTGTCAGTTCCACTTTTAAATGAGTCCCTTGACATTTCTCAAAAGGCTATTATTCCTTTTTATTCTTTTTTTAATTTAATTATTTTTTGATTTTCTTTGCACGTAAAGCTTTGTATAAGTATCGACGAAAAAAAAAGTCTTCGTCTTCGTCTTCCATTTTCTTTTTCTTTTAAAATATAGTTTTCTTGAGTACTGATAATTACTTCTGTTATTTACTTTATTGTTTTATGTTGTTGTTTGGAAGTTTCCTAAGATTTATTTTTTAACAAATATGATGCGACACTATAAAAAATCTTTGTCCCAACTTTTTAGAGCAGGTAAGATGAAGATTTTGATACTGAGGATCTTCCCATTTGTATAAATTTATGTCGGTAGACTTTGTACTTTAATTTTATGTGTACTAATATGTTTATAAGTTATTCATTCCTTTTTAAGCTACCATTTACGCAAAAATAGTTTGTTAAATACGATTCTTAATGAATGTTGTATTTCTTAAATACGATTTTTTAGGCGTCAAGTATTTTATTTCTTGCATATTTTTGTACTCATTGACCATTATAATTATGTGGAGACGTGTTTCTTTAAAATGGGACCAAGAAAAATTATAACTTATTACATTATGGAGTTTATTCAAATACATAACTGGTTACATTATGGAGTTTATTCAAAGCATGGTAAGCACCAATTACAAGTTCATAAGTCATTACTGCTCTATCAACTTAGGGTAATGCTAGGAAGACCATTTATTTAAATTATATTCTGTAAATTGAATTATTATTAAGTAATGATTAACGTGCATATTTTCTATTAGTGACACATCACATGATTTGCAAATGTAGTGCTCATTTGGATGTGTTTTTAAAATGACTGAAAGCGTTTTTGGTCAAAATGTTTTTGGAACCAATCCTTAGTAAAAATGCAAGTAAATTCTGGAAAAGCACTTAAAGTGCTTCCTGGAAAAAGCACATAACTGGTGCTTCTTGCAGAAAGCACTTTAAGTGCTTTTGAAACTAAAAAACATTTTCTCTAAAAACACTTTCAGTCATTTAAAAGCACATTCAAATAAGTCCGTAGTCTATAAAATTGATTTACCTAGCATTACTCGACAAGTTAAGCCACCTAAAATGAGATTAAGAGTCTCATACCACAGTAGTATTATAAATAGATTCCAACACTGTAATAAGATATTATCATTTAGAGCAGTTCCACCGGGAGGTGGTTAGGCCGTCACTTAGCCAAAAACCAAGGCTAGCACTCAGCCAATCCACTCCAGCCCGTTCCATTGCCTGGTACCCAGCCCAAGCTAGTCTCCAGGCCAGCCCAAAATTGACAGACCTTGGGACCGGTCCATTTGACGTCATAGTGGCGTCAGAGGGCATATGACGTTAGCCTTTTTTTTTTTTTGCGCCAGAGAGGGATTTGTTGTGGATGCTAAGGAGCGGAGCTGGTTGGGGCGGGATAGGCTGTCGGGAGGGAAGGAACCACGGAGAGAGAAGGACGGGAGGACGAAGCGACGGCGTCGGAGGTGTGGAGATGCAGGAGGACGAAGCGACGGTTTTTAAGGACAGGAGGTGTAGAGGAGCTTGTTGTTGAGGTCGGCTTGGGATTTGAAGGACAGGAGGGCAACGACGTCCAAGGATGGGAGGAGGAGGTTTGGAGGCGGCGGTGGGAATGGATTATCTGTGTTGGGGTGGATGGCGTGCAGGAATGGAAGGGAAGGGAAGCGTGGAAGATGAGAAAATAAAAATATTTTAATAATAATAATTTTTTTTTTATTTTTTTATAAAGTCAAAAAATTAAAAATAAAATTATTATTGTTTATTATTTTATAATAAAAATAATAATATTTTAATAAATTGACTAGGCTAGTTTTTTTAGGGATGAAGATGCTTTGGCTTATTACTGTTCACTTGAGTGGATAAATGCGCTGAGTGCTGGCACAAAGTCTTTAGGGATGGACTTGCTCTTAGGTGCAAAATCAAAATGTCAAATATTTACCAGCAAAAATAATGGCACACTAATCTTCTCTAAAATACCTAGGGTTTAATTCTCTTAAGTTGAAGTACTTTATTTATCTTTTACTAGTTATGCACGGTTGAAATTATTCACAAGCGTCATCATACTAGATCATTTATCTATACTTTAAAAACATAATCATTTTAAAGTGCTAAATTTGGAAATGAATCCCGAACATCTTATGTATAGCTAACATAGCCAAACCAAGGACCACAACAATACAATATTTTTCCTTTTCCCTTGTAAAATTGAGCCTCTCTTTTTTATGTTTAGTTGTCCGCTTCAAATGGTCTCTCATGAGTTAGTGAGTGAATCATGAAAGCCATACGAACGAAGGACAGCCAGAAGATTGAAACGAAAACGGGAGCACATATTGATCATTTCATGACACCAAATAGCAGACAAGCCCTGTTGTTATGCACATCCAGAAACAAGCAACATTTACTGGTTGAAGACACATATGTGAAGTTTTTTGGGTGGCAAGAGTTCTCTTCTTGTAGTACTAGAAGGATGACAAACGCTATGCATGTGCGTTGGAAGTTAAATTGTACAGAAGAGAGACATCAGACATGTCGAATGATTATGCTGGTTGAAAAAGAAAAATATGAGTACAAAGAAGTGCAAAAGAAGAAATGTGAAAATCATTACCTGCTAGCTAGTTGAAAATAAGTTTCTTATTTTATCCTCTTATCAAGTGCTATATTAATTGCACTTGGGATGAGGGATTTTATGTATGAGTTTATGTACAGGAGGTGGACAATAAATTTTCTATTATGTTTTCTTTATCGTATCAATTTTATCGGATGAGACTTTTATTATGTTTTCTTTATCATCAAGTGGTAGTCCAATTTTTTTTTATATATATTTAGTACACTAAACTAATGAGTGGGGGAATAAATTGATCATGAAAATCGTTGATATTTGAGAAGACCTCTTACTTACATGTGAAAAAAAATATCATTAAACTATAGTATTAAGCGGTAAATTTATCCTTTCACAGTCAGTTAAAGAATAGAAAGCAGTTTATAGACTCTACCAAATAGATAGCAGACCATAGGAATCTCATCATCTCCACAATCATATCGAAGGGACTTATCAATGATACAAGTTGGAATGTGTTATTGATCATATTTAACTAATTAGATTAATTATTCTTCAATATTATTCTTTTCCACTAATAAAGTATTGTATACTAAATAATACAGATTAATTTGTTATTCCATTTCCGCCAGAAATGAAAAGGTAATGAGATTTTGTGATCATGCTTATAATTTTTTTTCTTGCATTAATTAACACAAGGTAGGGAATGTGCATAGATCTCCCATTGTGTTTCTTAATTATTTTTATATAATGATATTCTTTTTTTTTTTTAAAGGGAGCATCTACTATGTAAAAAGAATGAGGCTAAGTTGCATGATGAGCCAATCATGTTGAAGTCAACACAAATATTATACATCCTCATCATTCGTGTTATTCAATCTTGAAACTTCTCATTTATAAATGAAGAAAAATATTATTAGACCATAATAGTAGTTCAATCTTTCATTGTTTTGAGGTATAATTGATATTTTAATAAGTAACCATCCATATATTGAAGATATTGAGAACTCCCATATTTGATTAGATACAGTTTTTACTTTTTTATCATTTTATACAATTCAGGTTTTTTTTTTTTAGGAATGTTATTTAGTTACAAATTGACTATATTGTTGACCGCCTTGTTAATAGAAATGAAATGGTTTTAGAGTCCACTTATATTAGAGAAGTTAGTTTTGTGGTTACAAGTTAGTTTCTTATCATTAATAATATTGACTACATCTTATATATGGTCAGTTATTTATTAGACCAAAGTCAAATTTTGTTATCAAATGATTGGCATTGTCTCTTTGATTTTCCAAATTGACAAACAAATTTAGTAAACAGATTTAGTGACTCTAGCACTAATTTAACAAGAGTATGTTACGTTCTTATCAGGCTATTCTTTTTTTAATACAAGCAATTTTATTAATATAAATTACACTAAGAAAAGAGGGGAGGGTTTAAACTTGGAATGCGGTAAGTTGAAGAGAATGATCTTAACTACAAAAAACAATTCACCACTTGTCTATCTGGCTATCACGCTATTATTTGTATGAAAAGTTTGTCATATTTCATCTATGTAGACTTAATTAACTTTGATAAAATAAAATAAAAGTGCATGCATGTATAACGCGCGTCAATATTATAGTTGTATTTGTATGTATCCCTTTTGTAAATATGAAAATTCCAACTTTTAATATAGGAGTTAATTAATAATTTAAAATTATGATTGCACCAACATATATATTACGATTGCACCAACATATATACATTACCAAACAACACATTAATTTATAATTTAAAATGTCTCAGCATAATAAACATTCAATTTTTTGGTTAGAACAATGCTTAAAGCCTCAAGTTACAACTTACAATATGGTGAATAATGTGAAGATGATGTTATAAGTAATTGTAAACAGAGGTCAATGTGAAGTGTCATGCATGGGCCAGTATACAAACAATAACTCAAATACTCAAAGTGAAAACATAACTGAAAATAAGCTAGCAAGTTAATTAACACTTAAGTAATAATTTAATCGTCAACAACGACGTCATATGATTTATAAAATGTAATTTAAATTGATGGTCTCTATAACATTACCCATTTGAAAAACATATATACTCGGTCAACATCATTGAATGACCAAAGATGCGTTTTTTCATCCTATATAAGCACATGAAATGTAAGGAGAAAACCAAACCAAGCAAGACTTCTTTTTCCAAGCCTATTAACCAAGAAATACAATCATTTCATCATTTTCCAGATTTCCTTCTTGTCCTTTACCAAAACAAACAAATGGCCATGGAGGGCAAGCAAACAAGAGGAAGGCAAAAGATATTAGAATTAATATAATTTAGGATCCAATCAATCAAGTTACTAAACTACATGTAAATCAACACAAATGGCATATTTGATAAACACTAAGATTTACTGCAATAGATAACCGCTTGAGCGGCAGAGACTATCGCTTGAGCGGCAGAACTCAGTCATACTACAGCTTGAGCGGCAGAACCCAGTTATACCAAATCTATGCATGGACTGATATACATGAATAAGCATGCAAACCTGAACTTGAAGCCATGATCTGTTTTAGGATGTATCTTCCCTTCTCTTGTACGACTACAATGGATGTATTAGGTTTCAAATGGGGCAACCTTACTTAACTGTGAATCATCCATATTTATACCGAGAAGAGGGACCAATCCCATTCTATTTCTGATAACTGCCTTATCCCATTAATAATGCAGTTATCTTCAGTTATTATTAAGCCAACTGTTCTTCATTAATTCAAACATGGCTTAATCACATTTTTCCCTCCAGTATGTTTTACTTCATTCGAATATAAAACCTTAAGAAGTCTAACTATATATACAGCTCATTTACCAAGTTCAGTTGCAATCGGCAGTTTGATGAACTCACATATATGAATTCATGAATGATGAAATCACATGAATTCTTACAAAAGATTGAGATGAAGAAGATCGAAAATGAAGAGGCTCTTCTCGTTTCTTTCTCGAAACGAAGGTCCGGCGTTTACAAGAAACCTACCGATATGATAGCACTATCTGGCGGTGAGGTGGGTATTGTGATCTTCTCACCTTCTGGTAAGCCTTTCTCATATGGCCATCCATCTGTCGACTATGTCATCAATCGGTTTATGAACCAAAATTCACCCGAAAACAACGACTACACTCATCAATTCATGAAGACTCATCAACAGATGAAAATTTCCGAGGCCATGGAACAATACAACGAGCTTCTTGACCCATTAGAAGCTGTGAAGGAGCGACAGAAGTCGCTCCTAAGGAAAGCCAGGACAAGGACAACTCAAGAGCACCTGTGGTGGAGTGTACCTATTGAAGAGCTTAGGGTGGATGAGCTCAAACAAATCCATGTATCCATGGCGGAGCTGCACATGACTACCTCCAACCATCTTAAGGAGAGGAGCAGTAGTTCTAATATTTTTGGTGCCTCCTCTTCTGGATCTGTCCAACAAACCAATCCCAACTTTGATGCTGATCAAAGTGGAACTGGTTCTTATGCTTTTCCTTATGGCTACGGCCATTAATTTTGGGAAAAAAAAAAAAAAAAAAAAACCCATCTTAAAGCTAAGTAGGACCCATGAGTTATTTTATTAATTAGTAATTTCAATTGTTGCGCCCACATGAACTTATGTAGATTTACATTTTGTTTAATTATAACTAGGTTTTAATCACAAATGGTCCTTAAAACATCATTAAGATGGTCCTTAAAATTGAAAATAGGTGTCACAAATCTATATGGTACTTCCGTCATAATTCTGTTAAAATTCTGTTATGTGCTGACATGGCAATTAAATGCGGCCCACAAGATTTAAGGATTTTTATCACAAATGGTTTCTAAAATTGACCTATACAATCAAGATGGTCATTAAAATTGAAAATCGACTTGTGAGTCAACTTCAGGGTCTATTTCACCGCCCGATTAATCTCTAGATGTTTAAAAATTAAGAAAGGGAACATGGACTTACTTAGGCGCCCACCTAGTCCGTCCAAACCCGCATTTAGGTCACGACTCTCACTTAGATAAGAAATATATGTTTTTCATTTTTTCATTTTATTTTTTTATTAAATTGTAAGAGACTCGTTAAATATTTAGATGAAGTTACATTATATGCTTGTTCCCATATTTTCATTATGTCTAAATACTTTATAATCTATATGTCATTATATTTTACAGTTTATGTATCCAAAAATAATTATGTATTTTTTTAAGTATAAGCAAACACTTATTTATTACGATATATATTAAATTTACTTAAATCCACGTAGGCCCCCGTTTAGGCCCCTCCTAGGTACCCCCAACCCACCCAACTAACACCTAGTGCCTTTTAGAACCTTATTATATCATTGTATAAAAATAACATTAAAAGATTAAACATGACATGTTCATTTTAAAAAATAAAATAAAACTCCTTCCAGAAACTATAGTACATTCAAGGAAATATCATTTAAGGAAAAAACTTCGTTGGCAATTAAAGAATGGTAAGTTAATATGCAACTGGCAACCATATTCATTGGATTTTCCACTTGCCAGTTTAGAGGGCCATGCATTATCACATTTTCCTTGGACCTAACAAATTTATTACCTTTTTGATGATTTTCACACTTTTTTTTTTAAAAAACTTTTTGTATTTTATTTATTTATGGCTTTTGAATTAGATAAATAAAACGGAAACAACAAACATGACTTAACAAAAATGTGTGAGAAGTAAAAAAAAAGTATATGTTTATCGTTTCCCTAATTGAAAGAATTCACATCTCATTTTAACTTCTTACATTTTTTTTTAATTTTTGACTCTTGGATTAGATAAATAAAACATAAACAACAAACACGACTTAACAAAAAGGTGTGAGAAGTAAAAAAAGTATATGTTTATCGTTTCCCTAATTGAAAGAATTCACCTCTCATTTTGTTTCAAGTGAAACTTTGATCAACCCCCACCAGCCAAAGTAGGGGTGATGCTCAACACCTCATATTGATCGTGATTAGATTAGTTTGTTTTAGTTGAGACAAGAATATCAAAATTTAAATTAATCTAACGACAATCAAATAGGGTGAGCATGACCCTCACTTTAGAGGATTGAGAAAAATGCTATTTTCTTTTTAAGTTATAACATACTGCCTTTTTTTATAGGAAAACTCAAACAATTAGATAACTACAAAAAGAGAGATTAAATTTGTAGACAAATTTTTGTAAATTAAATGACATGAAAGTTGATGATTGAATTATTACTTAAGTGTTGATAAACGTGCTTATTTCTATTGGTAACACATTATTTAGTTTACAATTTTTTTATAAAAAATTTAGCTTCCCAAGCGTTACCCAATTTGTAATCCAAATTTTCTTTTGCTCATTCAATTTTAAAATCTGGGGTGCAAAATTTGAATTCAATGATGGCAATCCGAAAGTGGCCAACTTTAATGCAATTTGGAAATTTTCAATAACAAAAAGGAAAGATAATTAAAAGCTGTGTATATCAGCAATTTTCTCATAGAATTAAGGGCTAAAAACCAATATTAGAAACATTGAACCTTTACTTGGGGTCCTTATATCTCTAGCCCTATATAAACTCCTTCACTTCCACCAACTTCCCCATACATTTTCCAATCAGAACTCCCCCATTTAGCCATGGGGAGGAGAAAAATTGAGATGAAAGTGGTGGAGGATAGCAGCTCTAGGCAGGTGACTTTCTCCAAGCGCAGGACTGGCCTGTTCAAGAAAGCAAACGAGCTCGCCACCCTGTGCGGCGCTGAGATTGCCGTCCTTGTTTTCTCTCCGGGAGGGAAGCCCTTCTCGTTCGGGCATCCGAATGTGGAGTCTATCGCAGATAGGTTTCTAAATCAGGAGTGCCCTAAATCAAAATTTAGGGTTTCAAAGAATGATGAAAAAGCGGGGAGGCTTAACCAGCAACTGGAGGACATGGAAAGCCAGTTGGAGGCTGAGAAGAAAAGGGGACTTGTGCTTGACAAGGCTGTACTGAAAGCAAAGGGTTTGCCTCTCAAAGGCAAACCGCCGAGCTTTGGTGAGCTCAGCCGGGCAGATCTTCGAAAAATGAAGGCGTCGCTGGAGGCGCTGCGCGAGAACGTGAAAGAAAAAGCCAGTGAGATGGAGGCATCGTCTTCGCTGCTCCTCCTGGCAAATGGCAGGAGAGACTCATATGACTGTTGCTAAAAGTGACTGAGACCTTAATTAGGTAATTTATAGGGAATGAATGTCTTTCTGCGCTTGTGATGTTGGTGTTAGGTAATTTTCCTTGTCATGAGGATCTTTCCGGATCGAGGATTCCTTGGATGCTTAAATCATATCCGTTCATCGTATATCGAGCAGTCATAACTTATTTTAAATTTTTTTATTTAAAATTATACATGAACAATATAAAACGAAAATTAGCTTCATGATGTATGATGAACAGACACGATTTGAGTATCTCGGGATCCTCACAAAGAGGTCCTGGAGAGGATCCTCATTCTTTTGCTTGTACCTGAGATGAAATTTCCTAATATGTGAAATGTGTTGAAGGATAAAAATATGTGGTTGCTTCGTTTTTATTTTTAATTTTTGTTGGTAGAAATGTTTTGTGTGCTTTTATTGTAGAGCTGTGCCATGATCAATTGCGCTCATGTGCGTGAATAATTGAGGATGTGAATTTAGTCTCACAATAGGTTAACAATAATGTTGTTCAAATTCGTTTTTGGCGATAATCGAACCTAAGACCTCTCACTTACAAGTGAAGATGAATATCACTAGATCGTAGTATTAAGTGGCTCATGTCTTGTAAATGAATTCTATTATAAGGCTCATAAGCCCCGTTGTACGTAATTTTACACTTATCGGTGATTGATGGCGTTAAATGCTCTTTTAGTAATGGATTTTTGGACATATACATTTATGGATGATATTAGAGAGACCATATTTATAGATAATGATGTGGCGGTTGATAGTTGAATTCATTCCTTCAATCATTACAAATGAAATTCAACCATCAACTGCTACATCATTTGATTTACAAAATATGTTCTAAAAAATTGTCTCCCTGACATTTTCCTATATTTATATAGAGCTCGTTTTGATGTACTTTTAAAATGATTGAAAGCAATTTTGATGAAAATATTTTTTGGAAACAATCTTTAGTAAAAATGTTAATAAATCATGGAAAAATCACTTAAAGTGTTTCTTGAAAGAAGCACATAATTGGTACTTCTTGTATAAAACACTTAAAATGCTTTTGGAATCCAAAAATATTTTTTCTAAAAGCGTTTTCGGTTATTTTAAAAGCACATCCAAACGAGTCCATAGAGTAATACTACTTAGACTAACTTTTTAAACCAAATTTGCTTATCATGTGATGTGTCACTAATAAAAAATAAGCACATTAATCAACACTTAAGTAATAATCTAATCATCAACAAACTAAATCATATGATTTACAAAATTTAATCTAAATAGTTAGTCTCCTTAGCATTAATCTTTTTATATAGAGAGAGCTATTCAATCGATGGATTCTTCAAATAAGCTCTTTTAGTAATACATTCGAACATATATAATACAAATTCTTAATATCCTTGTAATCCATCCAAAAGAAGAGAGATACTTTTGTATGCCCCATTTCGTAATGTATTTTAATTATCTGAATCATTTGTTTTTAGGTCTTCCACATATAATCGTTGCAAAAAAATTATTATAACTTTTTACTATTAGTTTGTTGCCTAACATGCCTCAATTAAGATACCTAAATTTTTTTTTTTTAACAAATGTTAGTATCTACACTAAAAAGATGAGAAGTAGGCTAAACCTCACATTAAGATATCTAAATTGAAACACCCTATAAACCAAACTTTGTGAAAACACAAATGCCAATTCATATGTGCGGGTGTAATATACGTGAAATTTTGTGTTTCTAAAACAATCCAAAGCCTCCCACCTTCTTTTCGCTCTCAATACCCAATTAATCCTTTTGTTTCCACACCCCAAATTTCTTCATTTCTACAAAATTCATACTTGATCGATTCTTTATCCTTTTCCCCCTCATCATTAGAACAACAACAAAAATATGGAAATGGTGGTATGATTAATAGCGTCATTTTTTCTCAGAAAATGAATAGTGTCGTCTTGGGTAGGGATGGGCAACGGTTATGGTGGGCGGGTAACCGCGGTTATTTACCCATAACAGTATATGCTCATATCCGCATAACCGTTTACCCGTTGGGTAATTGCCTAAACGGTTATACCCATACCCATAACCGTTTATAAATGGTTAACCATACTGTTGACCCTAAAAACTACCAAGCCTACGTGGCACGTAGACCGAGTAATCTATAAGCTAACTACGTCCTTCGGTGAATGCGGGGCGTGCCAACTCGTCGACCGAGCTCGGCCGAGGAGTAAATTTGTTGATGTTGCGTTGGGTGCGCGACTGACTTCTGCGTCTTGCGATTGCGACCGAGGAAGGAACACGTCTCGGCCTCTTGGGTTCTCGAACCTGAAGACAAGGCTACTATTCTTACGAAGTTCAATATCAAATTCGA